CAAAGTAGTTACTATGTGCATCCAAGTCAGAAAGTTTTCGTCTAAAGCGAACGGAATCTGTAATTGTATGTCTCGAGAATTGTTTTCGTAGAGGATTCAACATTCTACATAGCCATTGTGATAATTCACGATAGGGAGAATTTATCATAGACAGTAGTTGTCTAGGCAAGTTACCCAATTTATGTAGTTTCGCATGACCATATAGCTTTGTGACTACAGATCCAATGGATTTAATACTACTAATAAATAATCATGTTTGCTGAGTATTTTGCTGAAGCGTCTTACGGAAATTTACGAACTGACTTAATCCTTATTTTTTTGACAACCATCTATTCTGATTGTCTGTTATAAGTTTGTTTACAAATTTTTCTAAAACTTTCGTCCAAGCGTTTGGTAGTTTCAGTAATAAAAGCTTTGTTTCATTGAAAATACAAATATTCTGAGGCCCATTTAGAGAACTTTCCATATACATTTATAAGTAAAAACACAGCTTTTTGTTCAGCGAAGAAATTTCTTTTCAACGACTTCATTTTCAAGCTGTACAGTCGTATTTACATTACAGAAAAGGTTATTAAGTGGCATTAAATAATTGCTCAGTCAATATACATATATGTGATAAGAATAACGATAATTAAAATGTTATAAGGGGTAGAGTTGGAGTGGATAAATTACAAAATTATTAAAGATTGTTTTATAAGTGAATTGAAATCAAAAATGTTTTAAAAATGTCAAGTGTTGTCTAAAAATTTTGAAAAATAAGAGTACGATTACGATAAGAATGAAGATGTGAATTGAAGTGGAAAGAATTCAAGTGGTAAATTAAAATAAATTAAAAACTTGAAAGAATATTACTATGACCAAGGTAAAGAAAGGGGTTTGACAAAACGTTTTTGAACACATAATTTAGGTTTCTGTTCATGTATAGCTAAAGCTTCGGCTATGCATAAGTGAAGAAAACGTAAACCTTCGGATCGATTCGATTTTGCCATGTAAATAACTTTGAAAGATGAATCACGTGGGGCTAAATGATCTGACACAAACAGGTGATCACAGATAGACGACTTCGCAGTTCTACGTTCGCCTTTCATTAACCAGACTGGATAGTGTTCAGCTACACGTTTTCGGAGATTACGCTTACAACGTCTAATATAAACAGCTCCACAAGAGTAGGTAAAAGAGTAAATACACATGGATGTGGACAAAACTGGTAATCTATCCTTGACGCATTGTGTAATCATATTTCGGCTGGTAAAAACTATTTGCAAGTCAGCTGCAGGAAAAGTGCGTTTAATGCATTTAGATAAACGATTTTTAATCAATTCCGAACTAATGTCACCTTTGAATGCCGGACTCATAAACACTTTCTTCTTTGGCACTGTAATTTGTCTAGGGGCGTGTTCTTTCTTGATGTTACGTTCGATAAACCTTGTAGGATAACCATTATTAAGGAGATTTGATCGAAGGTTATCTAGTTCACTATCGATTGTCTCTGCAGAGCAGATTTTACGAATTCTGGAGCATAAGGAATGAATAAGATTTCTCTTTCTTCCTAACGGTACCCAACTGTTGAAGTTAGTGTACTACCCAGTGAATGTTGGCTTTCGGTAAATCGACCTTAACAGCGTGCCACTCTGTCATCTATCTAGCTTAACATCAAGGAAGTGAAATGAGGAATTTGACTCTTTTTCGACCGTGAAAAGCAAAGATGGGTGAGAGCCATTAAATATTCATATATATACATTTAGTTATTTTACTAAGTTCGTCCGCCTACAAGTACATCTAAGTCCAGGAAATGGAAATTTGAGAAGGTACGAAGCTGATTAAACAGGGGAAAAATTTGGTGTTATTAACTCCAGTCGACTGGCTTCTTATAGTTCGTCTTTCATTCTGTTTCAAACTGTCCCTAATATCTTGCTCCCATTTGAATGAAAGAGAAATAATCGCTGACATTATAGTATTGAAAGAATCTTTATATTTTAATTCCACAACCACCTTAATGTTTTTATTTCCCTGTGAGTGTTTAAATAATGGCCCTTTTGCTACAGATTATAAGGAATACATATAGAAAGCTATGGATCAACTTAGAGTATCTCTCCCACTTAAAATGATACAAGTAATGTTCTGTGTTTCTTTCAGATCCATTCAGTCTTATTTTACTGCAGTGGTGATAAATAACACCACGGATATATTCCAGGCAGGCAACAAAAATATGACCAGGTGAAATGTTAACCCTACATCTTATTTCATCGATCGGTCAAGGAATTGAGTCTCCTGTGAGAAGGAGAAATTATCACTAGATAAATTATTTGAAAACAGTTCACTCTATGAGCAATCAATTTAAAGAAAGTGTTTTCTAATTCTGACTTCATACACTTCCTCGGTTACCTTTCAGCATACTGTATCTATCTCCAAAAAACTGTCATTAAGTCAAAAGATCTTTGAATAGCTTTTTAGACTTATCGTTAACATTTTCATTAAGGAATATTGTCACTTACCTAGTGGACTAGCTTCATTATCTGTTTTTAAATTGTGAACTTATCCAAATACGTATATATCTGAGACCATAGATAAATATTTATAGGAATGATCCTGAATTTAATCAATACTCCCATCAAGTTAGCTGGATTTCCAAACGTCTGTCTGGATTTTCATAGACCATAATTTCAGACGATGCTAATTTTATTGCATGTTAAAATAAAAATAGATAAAATTACGTAGATGACTGCTTACGACCGCAAAGTACTAATATAGTTTCCTTTGAAAATCATAGTTCCATTGAAAGCGGTCTTTTTTTCACTTCTGACAGATGCATTTCCTTAGTCTGCTGAGTATCATTCTGATCGTGTAGACGAATCAAGTAAGCACTATTATACAAGTAACGAGTGACGGTTCCTACTTTTTCTAAGACTTACTGCAAGTAGGTTTGATTTTTTCTTCCTAGACAAGCATAGATCTACTTCAGTCGGATAAGAAAGTTGAATTTGACGATTGCACTTGACAGAAACTAAATTTACAATAGAAAACGAATTAGAGAGTATAATATCCCAAAGTGGAAAATGAAAACTCTTAGAAAATTTAATTCAGGTATCATGTTTTGAATATCAATTCCAGAAACCTTTGATCTTCATTCAGTGTCCCGAGTGATCGTATTGGATTTCAACCAATAGTAAGTTTAAAAGCGATTAAAATCAACTAAAATAAAATAAAATGCGATTTTGAGCTTGCAGCAAATGTACGTATGTGTTTAACCGCCCAGAAGTCACTTTATTTATGTGAGAACTTATCACAGTAATTATATGTTAAATAGTAGAGCACATTTTGAACCAACACCCACTAGCTGAAAGTCACCTACCTATAAGCCAACATGCCACAGTTTAGTATTCCAACATTTAATATTCGGTTGATTGTACTTTAAATTTCTGCGATGTCCGCTTACTCCCTGATTATTTTGAAACTTATGTAGCTGCTTGATCTCGTGTGTATGCAGACTTTTAGTAGGAACGTACAGGGTGCTGACTGAAGTACTCATTTGTCCATTTTAACAAAACAAAAGTCAGATATCATAAATTAATCAAAATCCGAAGAATATTTGTGGACAGCATTCATGATAATTAGTGTGTTTGCATCAGTGTTCTTACGTAAAAGTAGTAAATCATGTCAAAAATGAGATGTAACCGGTGGAAGCTAGGAGAAACATGATTGGATATCATATGCAGAGGTAGCCAGGGTTCAAAGATTAAGGAAGGTGACTACTTATAATAAACAGAAACTGAGAGGCAAAATAAAGCCTGAAATGAAGACCAAGGGTAGAGAAGTGGTTGAACCAGGTTATTTCCTGTGCGCCAAATGGCTTTCCCTGTGTAGATATCTAGCGCTTTAGGAATGCCAAGAATAATACCAACCATTTTGTGGGACTGCCCCTTACTTTATATTTGACCTCGAATGAGACGTCTTTTATGACTGAGTTACTAGTTCTGAGAATATGTTTAGCGATCGTCCTTTTAACTGATCTATCATTACCACTATGCTGCCATATAGGATAATGTCTCTTTACCCTTTTCGACAAGACTCACATCGAACGACATAAATAAATTGCTCCACCAAAGCAAGTGAATTGAAAAATACACATAAAATTGACTGAATGCCAGCGTTTGCTCTTAGAAGTACTCAAGAACACTGAGCAGAATCAGAATACTATTATCATAGTTAGTGCGAAGAACGTTATCGTAAGAAAGACCGATATGCTCTTCCTCAAGATGTTAATAAGTGATTCACCTTTGAAGTCGACATTTGTATACATTATCTTTTCAGCATTTAGATAGGGATCATTCTATCTGGTTTAGGATCTACATTTTCGCCTACAAAGTGTGAAAGATACAGAGTTTGCAAGGCTATGTGAAGCCACTTACTAAAAATGTGATTCTTCGCCAAAATACTTTTTCTTCCCTTTTGAAATGATAAACAGTCATCACGATTCATTCAACAGTAATAATAAGGCAATATTTGTAAATACATTCATTATGGATACAGTCATCTGTAAATGAATAATAATGAGCCTATTTTGAAATTATAACTTAATGCTAATTCATAATCACTGGGAAATTCGCCCTTAAAACATATATTACTGAATTTAGACTGACTTTTTATAAAATAATCCAATCATTACTAGGGTGAACACTCTATTTAAAATTGTGGTAGCTGAACGAACATGCTGTGAAGAACATCTGTGCAATAATTCTTTTTTATTTCTATGTTATTCAAACTCAGGAACAAACTATTTAAAAAAATATTTGGAGATACTCACACGTGTACAGAAACAGCATGCATGCAATCAATGTAGTTTTAACTTAAATACACTCAGGTTGTGTAAACAGCATGAATGAATACTGGTATGACAGTGAAACAATGTAGATTTAAACTGTAAAATAACAAAGTGAATGATTTCTTTTGTAAAAAATAATCCTGAAGATAAACGTTGTCATTTTAAGCTGCACTGAAATTTAAGTAATTAAACTTATGAATTCTCCTCTAATTTTATCGTCGGTTAGAAATTGACCTTTTAGTTTTTGTGTCACAGTTACTGCAGTCGACGTACGAACACCTCGCATTGACATGCACATATGTTTGGCTTGGATGATTATACCAACTCCAATCGGGTTCAGTAATTCAACTATAGCGTCAGCTATCTCATTTGTTAGTCTTTCCTGGATTTGTAGACGTCGTGAATATAATTCCACAATGCGAGCTAATTTGCTTATTCCAATGACATACTTGTTAGGCAAATAGGCGATAGATACATGACCAGAGAAAGGGAGTAGATGATGCTCACATATGGAGGAAAAATTAATATTCTTTACAATAACCATTTGGTCATGACCTTCATCAAATAATGCGTTGTTTACAATTCGTTGCAAATCATCTTGATAGCCTTTAGTAAAATACAGCATTGCTGATGCTGCTCTAGCTGGCGTTTCTATCAGTCCTGGTCGATTCGGATTTTCACCAATACAAATAAGAATTTGTTTATACAATTCTTTAAGCTTATTAAAGTTAAATTCTTCATTTTCATTAACTTTATTATCTGCTTCATGATCTATCATGTCTATAGTTCTTATTGACATCCCACCAGATGTTTTATTCAGTTTACTTAAAGACTGACTATCACTATTGCGTGCTGTACTTTTGAGTTTGGTCATTACTTCCACTTTTCTAGTGAGATCTGGAGAAATAAGTTCACTGAAGTTAGTCAGTTTTGCGGCTGTGTTATGTGACTGATGATTTTTTTGAAAATTATTTCCTGATAGAGATTCATCTCCATTCTTCATGAAACAGATTTCGTCTGTTGAACCAATGTGTGAAAAAAGTGAATTTTCATATGACATTGATAGCAAGTGGCCTGATTGTTTGGGCTTGAAGTATTTATAGTTCGAAGGTATACTGTGTCCTGTAAAAGGTATCTGTGCACATCAATTATTTGATGCACTTTCTCTTATGTTCTTCTTTCTGTCCTTTTGTCGAATTGTTTCAATATGTTCAATTTTAGTTTACACTAATTTGGTGTCATTTTGTTAATGTGTATGTATGTGATAAATGTAAACGTGCACACACACACGTTCCAAAAGTTGGATAATCATTATTAATAATCATTCACATTACTCGTGTATTTGTGACCATAATTTACAGTGCATTCAGTAACATTTAGTTTGATTCAATGGAATACTCAATACAAAGTTCACTTAGCAGTAAATTGAAGAAATCGAAGAATTCGGTTATCAGTTATTAAAACGATAGTACAGTGATGAAGAGGGATGATATGTTTCAAAACTAGTTAGTAAAAATTCCCATGGTAAAATATAAACCGAGTCAACTTGTGGCGAAAGCTGTCTGCAAGCCAACATTGTAGACAACAATTTACGTCAATGTTTACGTCCCGAATCGGGGTCATGAGAAAAAACAATAACAAAGCTTAACCTTGAGGAATTCACCGGCCAATCACAGCAGAATTAACGTGTGCAAATACGACTCACAAGTGTATGGTTTAACTTTCTAAGAAATGGTCAAACGCAGTACAGAATAACCTTCAGCAAGAAAACCAATCAGAAGACGTTGCTTCTCCGCTGACAATAATTTAAATAAAAATCTATAAATATCTGTTGATTTTCTCAATTAACGATCTGTCGCCTGGCCCTTGTCTTCTGTCTTTACAATATATGCGAATAATGCTGTTTCCAGTTAAATCCGTGAATAATTCCCATTGAAGCGAAATAATTAGTTCAGTGAAGTGGCTCTTTTAGGCGAATTCATTTTCATTAGCTGCATGATCGCACTTTTATTAAGTATTTTCAAGAAATAGGAGAGTAATGACTGAGATAAACTGTCATAATGACAGTTACAAATATTAATTATTATATGGGAGAATTTGAATAAAGATGACAGAGTTACGGAATGAAATATAGTATATAATGAATTAGCTACAGTCAGTTGCACATATAAACAAAGGCAATTCGACATTAAGCAAGTGTTTGGAGAGTTAGTGTTTCAGCAGTGTAAAGGTGGTTAGATCATATTGTCTTTGGCAAGCTGCTGTTCACTTCGTAGGTCACTTGAAAGGAAGAATTTGTTGAGATATAGGTGGCCAGTATCTGCAGGGTGTCCAATGTATGAAGCCGCTGGTACCTTTCTACAAACATACAAGATAGTGCTCTTGAAACCTTTAAGATAAGATAGGCGTCGGATAACCGATGTACCTGGCTCCACAGGAGCTGGTAAATTTTTATATGCATAAAGAAGTAGTTAGGTGAGAAATCTTGTCCTTTAGTCTTCTTCAGACCAATGAACGACCGAAGAATACTGGTCTTAGCGTTGCTGCAAAGGATATTCTTGTCAGAAATGTTTAGATTCTTCTCTTGAGGATATCACAGGTTCGGTCATCCTTAGAATTAGGTTTCATGCAGACGTTTTTCAACCGGTATCATTTATCATATCGCTAAATATTTGGTTCGATATTTGATAGATATTCGTTTTGGATGAAGATTTAATCAATTAAATCCCTATACGTCTTACTCTAGAATATACGTAACTTTACTAATAAATATCGTTTGCTAACCAGCCATAGTAAAATCGTTAACAGGGTTATAAGATGGTTGACATAATGATAATTCTATCTATATATATTTCTTTAGAGGCCTTCACCTATATCAGTCTTTGGTATAATCACGTATAAGGTATCAGTAAGATCAGTCTAAATTTTCGAGAAACTAAAAATTCTTTCGATGTAGCAAATGTATATCTCATTAACGGGTTGTCAGAAGGAAGACACATTTGTATATGGTTTCTAAATGAAGACTTCAGACCACTGAAAACTAACTTTATTTTATAAACACACGTCAAAAGAGTTACATTGTGGACAATATTTATTATGGACACTGTAGAGATAAAATTTAGATACATCGCCAACTTATCCAGTCTAATTTATTGGGTTAAGTTGCTTGTTAATCTTGATCTTTGAAGGAATTTCTTGATGATAATCTAATTAGAAAGAAGAGAACATGAAGTTCAGCGAAGTTTTTTCAGCGATTTCACTTTCAAGAGCTGTACAATCGCATTTAAACACATTATTTTACACAGATAAAATTTTTACTTGATTCCACATAATTACGAAGGCGAATAAAAGGTGACAATTATTTCCAACTTGATATGGATTACGAGAGGCTTAGAAACAAAAATTACACAGGATTAGAACGAATTACAGGTGTAAATAAAATGAGCATGGAAACAAATTGGAATGATAACTTTTAACTCAAATTAGAAGTTAGAAGGTTTGAATATAGATTACAAGAGTTTTAGATACAAAAACTACACAGGATTAGAAGATATTTATGAAATAGTTATTTTAAACGAATTATAAATTTGAGCAGGAAGAGCATGGAAGCAAACGTAAAACAACTTTTCTGATAACTGAAAAAATGGGATGAACTGAATGAAGACAAAGAGAGAAGAATCACACACACAGCGAACGAAAGAAAATTTTAAAAAAAATAACGAAGGCTAAGGGAACACACCGAAATAAGTCCATGGTAGTTGTAGAGGTTATGATTATGATTTTGAGCAATAAATTGTGCTCAAAACGTCATCAGAAAATATTACGGTATAACACTGTCAGACTTTATCAAAATAAATTTTACCCATAATGGAATTATACTCTACCACAGTTCACAAGTTTTATTCTTGTATTATGACCACCTCACTTTTCCTGCACTTGGGATTTTTCACTTATTTATAAATTACCACTGTTTTCTGAAGAGGTTACCCTATAATATACTTATATTTAGTTTTAAGTAGCATACGCCACATTGAGGGAAATTTATTGTAGACTTATTATTTTACTAGGATAAACTATGCGAACATGTGAATACTTAGTTTTTAGTACTTTCATGTCTAACAATGTAAATTCGTATGAGTCCAGTATTCCATGAATCCATATGTAAGGCTGTTATATTTCACATAGTGACATTTAGTAAGTGACGAGTTGATAGCTAGTAGTTCAGTAGATTATTTTATTATTATTTATTATTTTCTGCTGTCCTCTTCAGCTAGGCCCATGATTGCCCATGATCTCTCATCTCACCCTCTCACAATCTCCTCAGTGTCAAACTAAGATGGCCCACTCGTTGCTTCCTATTGGGATTCCACTCGACAGATGTGTCATTGACGATGCAAGTTTAAAGTGAGGCAAAAACTTCAGTAGCGTATCATTGTACCTTTCAGTAACACTATGTAACTGAAACCTCTACAAAGAAATAAAACCAATCGTTCGAATGTAATTTTACTACAGTGATTTCACTTATGAAGTAGATTGAGTAACTGACCTACAGAATTCTGATGAAATAATAGTCGATAGTTAGGTGAAGTTGAATTGGTCATTTACGGCTCCTTTACCGTATTAAGTGAGCATTGACCGACCTTTTGTGAGAAAACCAGTCACAGTAGATTCCACACAGAGACTTCCAGGTTACGGTGGTTCATTTCGTTGGAGATAACGTGCCATGCTAGTAGATATTAGTATTGTTACAACCGTAGTCATTTTTAAATTAGTTAGATAAGACTGTCTTCCATGATCTGATTTTTAGATGGTTCTTTCCATTCTGTCAGAGTTTTGATTTTGTCTTTAAAAGTATGCAGCTGGACTCCAAATACCTTAATGTTTATCTAAATCCACTTATAGCGACTGTTAACGGGGCATGATTATTAAGATTCACGCCTCTATTGACTGATTTCAAATGCTCTTCCCTAAGGCTGGTTTTTTCAAAATATTACCAATTAGAGATATCTAAAAAAACATTTAAGAAACTTTAAACGACAACAAATTGATATGATATCATTTGATGGACAAAACCATACTAAAAAGTAAAAAGGGATAAAGTGCAGTGTATTCAATTTTCAAGGTAATGAGAGAAAAATAATTTATCTAAGTATACCTGGTTGTTTCAATAAAAATTAATCAGATCACCTCAGTTTCATTAAAGTGAAATATGATATTATTTAAGATTGTTCTTATCTGTCACATAGCATCATACAGCATTTACCGTGGGTCACTTAATTGAGTGACAAAGTGTGCAGTTCTACATTTGAACAATTCTAATTCTAAAGCAAACGACAGTCTATCAACCAAGTGTTGAATATGTCATCTAGTCTGGTAATAAAATTAGCACAATTAATTTAACAGTTCAGTTACTGCATATGACATGATTTTTCCGTCGAATTCTCTTGTTTAACCTAAATTTTGTCCTCATAGACAAATAGTATTTTTCGGCATCTGCCATTACTGTATTTTGTACTCATGAATGACAAGTTTCAAAGCTACATTATGAAGTGAAACACACTAGCTCATTTTGTGACTCTCATCTCTACAAAATATTTTACCTTGAAAAGACCGATATTACCCCTTTACTAGTACACTGAGAATAAAGTTTGTTTATCTGATGTGGAATGAAGCATAAATCAATTTTTCAAATAACATCTCCCCTCTCTCTTTCTGAAACTCTATTTAGTCAATACCTTCCTTCAATCAATTCTTCTTCCGTCAGATATAGTTTAAGCTGAACAGATGATGAATTTTTACTTTGAAAACTTCTGGACACTGTTAAAGAGTTTTTAATGGAATCAGAGCAGTTTTGCACAAAAATTTATGTATATGACATTTTCATAGAAATTTGGAGAGTTATTGGGACAGGCGATAGCTTTCTTTCTCGAATAGTCATGTGGGTATCCTTGCCTTCTTCCACAATAACACCGACTTATCTCACCAGTTTATCAAATCTGTTAA